AGTGGCAAGAATGCTTGCCAGTAGTTAATTAATTGTGAGATTTATAAAGGAATTATTAGCTAAGTAATTAGTATTTAAAAGTGCATTTTTATCAAGGTTTTATATCATTATTTTGCACTTAAAGTATCAATAACTCCTTAACTAAAGCACGTTTTATAATAACATATCTAATAATATAAGATACCTTTAATTTATGGTAAATGTCCATTTTAAATGCAGGTCTATCACATAAATAAAAGGATTGATTGATGAGTTTAAGAATTGAAATTAAAATGACAAAGAGATGACCAAATTTAGAAAAGAAATGTTGGTGCAGTCCAAACTGGAATACTGTTTGGTAATTGGGTCATATATGGAGCTGTAGATCTCGGATTTAAGTTTACTTTACATGGATGGAAAGGTAAGACATAAGCTTACAACTTTCATATGGAGTCTAAGATTTAAAAAGGCCATTTTTAAATCCAAATTGCAGCAACATCAAAAAAGTCTGAATCTGTCCTACAATCAAAATATTGTTTAGTGTTTGACCCATATCTGGAGTTCTAGAAGTTCAAATGACCTCCATTTTTTTTTTAGAAAGCTGAGATAATTTCTTACAACTTTGATGTTTTCAAATGGTTCCAATTCTAACGTTATCAATAACGTTTTGGGTAGACAAGTGAAGATAAGGATTATCACCAAGTCAAGAGTTGACCACTCACTCATCAATTAGCCATCAAATCAATAGTTCCCAATTTTGGCCTATAAAAGGAGGCATAAGCCATGCATTTAGACATATTGGTCACCAAATCAAGATCATTCTCTTGCTTTCTCTCTTTGTATTTTTGTAATGCTTAAGTTTTGCTTTCATTAATATCAAGCTCATGCCTTTGATTTCTTTTCCTTTACTTAGTTAACTTTTATCTTATTTATGTTCTTATTTTGTTTATTTATTTTTCTTTCTTTTATTATGTTTAGCTAAGTTTATTATGTAAAGGTGATCCTCATATGGACTTTAATGTTTGATGCTAACATGTTTTGTATTTGTTATCTTGTTCACTTTTAATATTTTGCTTGTTAAATGGTTAATCTAAATTTATGTTGTATAACACTTGGTACAACAAATGCTTGGTACTTTCATAGCCCATACTGTATGGTATAACCGACACCTGAACTATGAAAAGAACTTGATTTGTTGTTAATATAAGTTATAATCGTGAATGCCTAACGAGATTTACAAGTATTAACATTAATCGAATAAGATAACTAATATAATCATGTTAACAATTTATAATTTGATTGGAACCTCATTTGTGTGTGGTTTCCAAACCTTCTTGTGGTTCGACTCTAGTCTTACCGGATTATTTATTACTTCGACACTCCTGCACTTGGGAAAAGATATTAATCTTTTGGTTGTGTCAATTTTTCAATTAATGAGTTAAAGAGATGATGCAATTTAAAAACATTTTGAAAAAAAAAAGCATTTGTTTTCGAATTTAGTAACTAAAGCATTTTTCAATTAAAGTTTAAAAGCATTTAAAAAAAGCATTTTTCAATTAAAGTTTAAAAGCATTTGTTTTCAAATATTTTTTAGGTATTTTTTTGTTTTCAAATTTATAGGGTCAACTTAATTCTATGTCCTAGATCATATGTTTCATTTGTTGATCCAAGTTGGCTACTGAGTTCGTTCACGATTTTTTTTTCTAACATGTTTTAAAAAAATATATTTTTAGATTAACTCATAATAAATTTTTTTATAGAACTCAGATATAGGATTTTATAAGTTGTGAGCTTTTTAAAATTTGATCATGTTTAGGTTGCTTGTTCTGGTTTGCTTTATTTTTACAAATGTTTTCAATTTCATTCCCTATAATTTTTTTAATTTTTAAAATTTGATCCTTATTCTTTTAATTGATATTTATTTTATTTGATATTATTTTTATTTTTTTCATTAAATTGCGTCCTTTTAAGGTTTTTTCTATTGAATCTTATTTTCATTCTTTTTGTTGCTTTTGAAGGTTTTTGTTTTTTAATATTCTTCTACTTATTTCATCCTTTAAAATTAAATTAGTTGAGAATTATATTTTTTGATTGAATCTTGGTAAAAATATTCACGAGAAGCAACTTTTAGAGATTAGATTAAGTTTAAGAGAGGTTTGCCTTATTTTTCCCCCTTTTCTAAATTTATATTGTTTTATTTGTTATCCCTTTTTAAAATTTTATTTTGTTATTTTTTATTTAATTCTCTTTTTTTTTTTAACTTTTTTTTTTCAGTTTGATTCTATTGAATTAACACTTAACAATTTTTTTCTATTTTATCGCTATCTTTTTTAATCTGTAAGTAAATTTGATCATAGTTTTTTTAATTATAATTTTTTTGTTTGTGATAATTTTTTTTAGATTTCATCCTTATTGAGTTTTTTCCTATGAGATTTTAGCCTCTTTTTTTTTTTGCTATTCCTTTTCTTTTGCAAGTTTTTTTTATTAATAGTTTTTTCAATGGTTTTATCTTTTAAAATTAAATTAGATGATATTTAAAATTTTTAATTGAACTCGAACCCATGATTTAATAAGTTGCAAATTTTTTATATTAAATTAGATTTAAAAAGTTCAACTCAGTTTGCTTGGTTTCCTTTTTTTATACCTTTTTTTAAAAAAAACTTCAACTTTTTTTTATTTTTTATTTTTCTTAAGCTAGGTTAGTATTGAGTTGTTTGATAATTTGAATAGATTGGAGTGTGCTGTTTTTCTTTTTAATTTTTTTTCTAGTTTATTTATTGTTGTTTTTTTTAAAATATTTAAATTACTAATATAACAAATGTCTTGGGACTTAAATTTTTTTTAACCTATCACTTAAAAAAAAATTATTTGGCCCGTGACAATGCACATTCAACATAACTAGTTATATATTAAAACGGCTTGGCATTTCATTGCAATAATTTACAATAAAATGATGTTATTTTTTTTAATTTAGTTATTACAGTTTATTATTTTTTAATTATATCCTTCCATATCCAATTTAGTATCCAGCTTGTCAAAATTACTTAATGAAAGAAATATTAAATGACAGGGGACCCCATTGTGAAACATGAAGAAATATTATGAATCATCTAAACTTTGTTGAAAAAAACCATTTCCATCCTCCAACATTCATTTTTTAACTTTAATAGTACTTATATTTTTTTAAAAATTTGATTCTAGATCAAAAATTTATTTATTTTTTATTTTTTAATCAATGAGTTAGAAAGAAAAAAGAAAAAATTTCTAGAATAAAAAAAAAAGAGAAAGCCGAGCGTTCATATGAAGGTCAATTTTGATGTTTATAATATACATTCAGCAAAAAATATTTGATGATGGTTATTTTAAATTTTAATATTTTCTGAAAAAATAAATAGGACAATAAAGAAAAATATTAGCCTGTTTAATTTTGTATTTTTAAATTATTATTTTTTTTTATTTTGTTGATAGGTATTTTTTTTAATGTTTTAGAGGTGTTATTTCAATGGTTTTATGTGAAAATATAGTGAAAAATAAGTTTTTAACAAGAAAAAACACAACCTATAATTTTCCAGCCTCCATTGGTGACCCCGAATCTGGATTACAGCAGACCATCGTCTTCCACTTCTGTTTTTAAAAAGACAAATATTTTTTGAAGAAAAAATTAGCAGGTGTATCTACAATTGCCCATGTATCCAAATGGTCAAAATAATTGACTGAAGGTTTCCTTTTCTTTCCCAGACAGGTTTGAATTCTACTATTCATGTTTGTCTAATTTTTGTTTCTTTTCATTCTTTTTTTTTTTGAAACTTTATTTATTTGGAAACTTTATTCGTTCTTTTTTTTTTTTTATCTTCAACGTTCATTTATTTTATTTTATTTTTGCTTATGTGACCCATTTTAAGGGTTTTTTTTTTTAAGAATATTTGAAAATAATATATTGTAACAAAACTGATCTTATAATAATTCAGAAAAGGCTAAGCACTTGTTTTTCTATTTATTGTATAACTAAATTAAATAAAAAATAATTTTTATTAAATTTAATAATTTTACTAGTTAGCTCAAGTTAATCTTGAATTTTTTTAACATATTAATAACTAAATAATTATTTTAAACCTTGTAATTTCATATATAAAATAAGTTTTTTTTTTAAGTTTTACTTGTTAAAATGAATTTAATAACCATGTTAAAGAATTTCTAGCCTGAATATTATTTTTTTATGTTAATTTCTTTTATCTCACTTTCAGCGTAATGAGGAAAATAATATAATAGAATTTCTCTATTCATGTTAATATACAATGACGCTTCACCTTTTTTTTTCCTTTTAATTGTTCCATCTCCTTTTCCATTTTTTTTTCTAGTTTTATTATTACATATTTTTTAACAATTGTATAAGTTACTTTTATATTAGCTGAAGTGATTATTATATCAAAATAATTCTTATATAATTTAATTTTAAATTATAACTAAACAAAAAATTGAATTAAAAAATTATTTTATGTTAATTTTATTTTTTCTCTTTTATTTTTATTTTTATTTATTTTTAGTGTTAGTTAAATTACTTTTTGAATAACCAAATCAATTTTCTCAAGTCATAATAACTCTTATATTATTTGGTTTTAAACTCAAATTAAATAAGATATCATTAAAAGATTTTAAAATTGATGTTTTAAATATAATATAATATAATTATTTATAACTGGAATATTTTTTTATTATATTAAAAAAATTGATCTGACAAACAGTATGGTACGGGCTTGTAAACTAGTTCAACATAGGAAAAAGAGGGGACTAACCACTGTGTTGAACACCGGATTGGTTAATTACTTACTATATGAAACTACAGGGACTATTTAAGTTCTTCTTATAAAGCTTAGTCACTAAATTATAATTTACTGGCGAAAACGACTTTATAAAAAACCAGCGTGGGAGAACAACAGTGGCAGCTGATGTGGAATCCTATCATTGACTGAAACACGTATTGGTGGGGCCCACCAATTGAGTCACCGAGCAAGCCACCTAACCGAGCGACTCCACCCGACGGCTCCGAGCCTCAACCCCTTCCTTCTCGAGGAAAAAAAAAGACACCGTTTCTTTCCTCTGTTTCCTTTCTCAATCAAAACGAATCCTTTGTTTTCGATTCTAGCTTGACAGCGGAGTGGCCATGGCCGCTGTCTCGTTTTCGCAATTACTTAACGGCGAGAGAGCGGTGGTTACGCTTTTTATTGTCATCGTCCTCTTCTCTCTCCCTCTTTCTCTTCTCTTACACGGCGTCGCTCTTTCTCTGCTCGCTCTCTTTGCTCTCTCCCTCGAGGTCCGTGTCGAGACATCCACTTCCTTGTCTCAATTCAAAACCAGGTACTTCTTACCTTTAGGGTTTCCTGCTTAATTTAATCGGCGATCATTAAATTGAATTTTAATTTGTGATTTCTGAAACCTTGTGTTTTGTAATTGACCTTATCGATTAAGCTAGGGTTTAATGATATTTACATTTGAATTCAGGGCAGGTGCTTCGTCAGGGCTGCTATTAGGTGCAGTTACATTACCAACTTTTATGCTTTCAAAATTGATACAGCAATCAAGAGCCTTCTCATTGCATCAAGTTCATCCTGGAGGTACTAACAATTGCTAATGAAATTATAGAGTGAAGCAATTGCTATTTCTCCCCTGTATTTGTAGTGAAAAGTCAATTTCCCCTCCGTGTTTCATATGTGGGCTAAATCAGGCCAACTGATAATGATTGCCAGTCTCCACTAGTTTTATATGCATCACATGAATTCACTTTTCCCTTGTTTTTGTAGAAAAACGGTCAATTTCCCACTCATGTGATGCGTAAAATGGATGGAAATCAAAGACGATTATTGATTGGCCTTGTTTGGCTCACACTTTTTCAATTATGGGGGAATTTACTTTTGCTACAAATGCAGAGGAGAAATTAGGAGTTATCACTTTCTCTCACTCACACACGCATATATATGGAGTATATTTTATGATATTGATCTATGATATAAATGCTTGGTCATGTGTTGTATTCGACTCATTATGCAGAACTTAATTACCTGGCGATGCAATACTGGGCTGCATTTGGTAGCTGCTTCACTGTGCTTACGGTGCTCTGCTTACTTACATTGGACAATACACGAAGCCGTTCATGTCAGGCATGGAATGCTAAGTTTGGCCTAGTATGTTTTGTGATTGGTGCTGCCCTATTATTTTTGTGTAGTACTATTGGTAAGTATGTAAGTAGTTTGTCATTTGTCTAATAAATATTTGCATGCCTGGAACTTTTATTCACTTCTACTGTTTTTGTTTATTCTATTTGCAGGTGTGCATGCAATATTGAAACTTTTGTGGGTGTTTTTTCATGGATTCACAGCTGTTGAGTTGGTGCAGCATCTCCTTAATACCTTTCCTTCATGCGTTTCCTTTGGTATGTTTACTGCTTGCTGTTGGCCTATCTTGTTGATAGCGAGTTTGTAATGCTATTATAATTTTGTGTTGCTTTATCAGTTTTGGTAACCACAAAGGTCTTGTATAATTTACAATTGTGTTGCTTTATGTTTCTTTCAGAATTTGGTAGGAGGTGTATTAAACCTCTGTATGATAAACCTATGGCTTACTGGCAAAAATTTAGTGAGAGCATGATAATTCTCCATGTGGGTTTAGTATCATGTTTCTGCAATTGTTTCTATAAGCTTAGTGATTTGCTTGCGCAATGGAAATTTTATAGCATGTTTGTACATTCCATGAGATTTTTATTGTTGCTTAGTTTGATTTGAGATGTTTGTACAGTGTGGTGTCTTCAATGTGTCCATGAATACCATGCCTATTTATCATAGCGGCTATCATTGTCAGAATCTAAAAACACACATTTCGAAGCCACTTTAAATCTCCAGATGTTGCTGGAATTCCATTGGACAAATGTCCTTCATGTATCCCTGACTCGATGAAACTGCATTGTTGTCTAAGGAACTCACGTTTCCTTTTTATATTTTTATAATTGGTGATGTACTCACATTAACAATGTCTGGTTCTTTTGTTGGCAATCATCCCTTTCCCTGGTCTTTCTAGGGGAAGCACTTCTGGTGACTGTGGGTCTTGTACTCTACTTTGGTGACATGTTGGCCCATACCATTGAAAAGGCTAGTGCTCTTCTGTACAAAACAGTCTACTCTTCCCTCTGGATTAAGCCCTGAGTTTTTACTTTATCATGGTAATGGGTGTTGTTTGAACAGATTTATGGATACATGACTTCATCAGAATTAGTCTTTATGCAATATGGATTTAGGAGAAGTGAGATAGGCATTATCATTCAGGTTTGATTTGCTACTGGTGGATTTATCCATAAAGATAATCATCCTTAATTGAGGAATTGACTATGAATTTTGTGGTTTTTCCCCCCCCCTTCTTTCCAGGGTCTACTTCTTGGCCTTCTCCTCTACATAGTTGTCTTGAAATATTTGCTCTGTGGATGGGATAGCTTTTCAAGATCAACCTACTTTGGAGCAAGGATATGTAGTGAGAAAGGGAAATCTCTTATATTCTTTGCTTCCCTTGGTTTTTTGATTGTTGTGATCATCCCTTCATGGATGCAGTTTGTACAGGATTTTGACATGCATCCGCTGTTGTGGTATTATTACTTGCCTCAACATTTACCTCTGTATAAAATTTTGTAACTGCTTGAATTTTCTTCTCATTCTGATTTCATTTGAAGATAAAATATTTTATCTTGATTAAATTGGCTTAATAATGAACTGGTAGATGATTGGCATATTATCTCAGTGATATATATAGTTCATGATTTTTGGGTTGCATGAGTTGAATGTTATTTTGATCAAAATGTTTGGGTCTTTCCCCCTTCCTGATGGGTTAGGCTGTGTTGCTGGGGTTTGGAACTTGGACATCTCTGTAGTGCAATTGGTGTCTCTCACCCTGTTAGGGTGAACCGTAGGGTTATTTTGCACTGTAGTGATGCTTGAAATAATTGTGGCTAGGAAATAGGAATCACAGTCTTGTTCTTATATTTGCAATCCATTATATCCATATAATTCTTCCGAATATATTCTCATCATATGTTTTTTAACAGGGTGGTTAGATTTGTTTTTATGGAACCAGTTAAAAGACTATCACTCTGTCTCTATTGGGTGTTTGTGATATATCTTTCTGTTCTGCGATTCTATAACATATCCAAGAATAGTAAGATTGAGAGGATTCTTCTTCGAAAGTACTACCATCTAATGGCTGTTTTAATGTTTCTGCCTGCTGTTATCTTACAGGTAATTTGGGAATAAAAGATTGATCATCATTTTGGTTGTTTTGGTGGTCGTTGTTTCTATTGTTGATTTCTTGGATACACTGCTGATGTAAGTTTGTTTTCAGCCTAAGTTTCTTGATCTGGCATTTGGTGCAGCCTTGGCAGTTTTCTTGACTTTGGAAATTATTCGAGTAAGTTGATTGAATGTGTAGATTGTATTGTATTGTATTGACATTTTCATTCTTATACACAGCTTGGATGATTACAAAGTTGATCATTTTGTTGAAAGTGATGTTCCAAGGGTCAATATTGCTGGGAGGAGCAATTTTAAAAGATATGTTATTTGTTGGTGGAAAAGAGGAGCTGAGAATTTCTTAAAAATTGCAGTGGCATTTACTTCACTGTAGAACTTTTTAGTTTAATAATGTCTTCTGTTATTTATGTTTAGCATTAAATTTTGTAGTTTCCTTTTTTCAAATTATCATAATAATATGTACTAATCAACCTCTATATTGTCCCATGAATTCTACCATATGCTAACTTTCATTTTTATTTTGACCTGGCTATGCTTTCCAGTCATGTCAACAACTGCACTCGCTAAGTCATTTTTAGTCTAGATGAGAGCATGTCTCTCTAATTGCAATTCCAGCATCATGCATGAGATATGTTACCTGAAACTGGTTGGTTAATCTGATCCTGGTTTCAAGAAATTAGAATTTATATTTTTGGTTTACATTCAAGTTCTGTATCACAATCCTGGTGACTATAATCAGTGATATAGTTCTGAGTTTAAGAAAATTATTGGTTACACCAGGAGTTCTACTCTCTCTTTCATGGAGGTGGGACCCTTGGAATAATTTTTATGGTGGGTTCTATGTGTACATGAGTGAAAGATTACAACTCAAGGAGTTCTGAATAACTCCTGAGTATCATTATGTTCCTGTAAATTATTTATCTTTGCCATACATTTTTGTGGTCAGGTTTGGAGAATTTGGCCTTTGGGACAGCTTGTACATGAATTTATGAATGCTTTCACAGACCACCGTGACTCTGACCTCCTCATTGTCAGGCATGACTAGTTATTTCCCTCACACTTTGTCTTCGTAATACAAATGTTTAATGCAGATGAGTAATTTTTCCTCTTTTATTTTTATTATTATTATTTCTTATTCTTTAGCCACTTTTCACTTTTACTGGGATGTGCACTTCCTATCTGGATGTCTTCTGGATACAATGATCGACCCCTTGCTCCTTTTGCTGGAATTTTGAGCCTTGGAATTGGGGATACAATGGTGAGTGAGCTTATTTCCATGTTTCTTATTGGTAACAATTTGGTTTACAAGCAATTTGTATATACATATATATACATACATATACATATATATACATACATATATATATATATATATACATATATATATATATATATATGCTTCATGTTTCTAGTCAATTTGTATCTCTTCAAGTTATCATTCAACACATCCAACCAATAAGTTACAAGCATGCATTTGCCTTCTATAAAACTGAGTTGGTTAATAAACAGGACAACAATTGTAACCTTTAAATAAGCTTTATGAGGGGGTATGAAGTAATGAAATGCGATAGTTATTCCACATGGTTGCAAGCTGGAGAGGTTTGTGATGCATGTTTCAGTACCCTTTCTTGGAACTTTTGATAAAAACTCTTCGGCCTTAAAGCAGTTTCTCATTCCTATTGAACTTGGTTTGCTATTTTCAACCTTTCCCATCCAAGCTGATCCTTCTAGGCAATTTGAAAGCAAATCAGATGTCATTTTGAACAAAAGGTGGATTTCCTTCATGCAACTTTCTGTCCTGAAAGAAGGAAACTAGATCTGGAGCTAGGTAGTATCTTGCTTTATGTTTCCTGTTTTATGGGAATTCATTCTAATGTACACTTAGCAAGTCATATGTTGTGCTGAGTTTCAGATTTATGGTTCATTTTTAGGTTCTTGTTGTGAGTGATATTATTCATTTATAATAGCTGGACAATAAAAGATTATTCACATCGGAGGATACGAGTGGCCCTTTGGCCACTGAGATAGAGCTGTATATCATATAAATATCTGATTCAATGAACTTACGATATTTGTAGAAGCTTTTACCAGTGAAATTCTAATATAATTGTATATCTGGTGGATGGATATGGAGTATTAGAATTTTTGGTAATATCATATGTAGGCCCTTGTTTATGTCTGCCATTAGATTATTCATGTTTATTGTTCACCAATAGCCCTGCGTCATTGAAAACTAATAAGATGGCTTTGCTTTAATATTCAGGCTTCAATGGTTGGCCACAAATATGGTGTTCTCAGGTGGAGCAAAACTGGGAGTAAGTACTCTTTAGAATGATTAATTCTTGGTCTATTAGTGTTTTTGATATATTTCTGATAGTATGCTTGGAACTCTTTTACTGGCTAGAGAAAACCATTGAAGGCACTGCAGCTGGTATAACATCAGTCCTTGCTGCTTGCTCGGTATTGCTTCCGCATTTAGCATCCACCGGATATTTTCTTACTGAGGTCTCTCTCTCTCTCTCTCTCTCTCTCACTCTCACGCGCGCGTGCGTACACAACTTGTTAATGTTTTCTGTACTACTTTGTGCAGCATTGGATCTCTCTTCTCCTAGCTGTAACAGTGAGTGGCTTGTTGGAGGCCTCCACAGCACAACTTGATAACGCATTCATACCACTTGTTTTCTACAGCCTTCTATGTTTGTAAATGCAGCTCTTACCTCAAAATAAATAAAAAAATAAATCAATAGCCAATAAGAAATTCACCTGGAAGTAACATTATATCTGATTGTTTCCTATCCGCTAACACCATTTTGTAGGCACACCTTACCCAATTCTTAGAGAATACAAACATCTTGTTGTATAGCATATTCATTTATAGTTTAGATTGTATCTGGATTAGGCCTAGGATTACGAGAGTCCATGTTCAATGCTGTAAATCCTGGTACTGTGGTTATTCATTGTACCACAAATACATGATCAGAGCAGATAATTTTCGGTACCTGTTTTATTTATTGTATTGTGTTTTATTGATGTAAAAGCTTAATACAAGGTTTTATTTTGGTTTAGTGGTACGTGGGTCGTGTTCCTTTCCAGGAACCAATGCGTGATGTATGGTATTTCACTAGTATTCTTTTAGTAATGATTGTTGCAACTTATTTTTGGATCTTCACATAAAAATAAAATAAAAAATAAAAAAATAAAAAAATATGAAAAGATAAAAAAGTATGTAATAATAAATAAATAAATATATAGCCGGAAGAAATTAGAAAAAATAATAAGAGGTGGGAGCGCTAAGAAAATGGTCAGAAAAAATAATTAAAGAGGATGAAAATACGAAGATTAAAATTTTGACAGTATATCTTTGAATGATCAGTCATGTTGGAAAAGAAAATTTAATTTGAAGAGAAAAGTTTCCAACAAAATTTAATTTGAAGAGAAAAGTCTAAAATTGGATGATTGTGGATTTAATTGGATTTTATTGAAGGTTTAATTAAATTTATAGAGGGTTAGATTTCAAGAAAAAAATGATTTTTAAGTTAATTTCAATTTTAATTAGAAGAAATTAAAGTTTTGCAGTTAAATTATAATTTTTTAGAGTTGATTTGGTCAAATCAGGGGTTAATTGCTTTTGATAGCCAATTAGAAACTTAATTGAAGAAATCAGAGACTAAGGATGAAAGTGGAAAAGACGACTAACTATAAAGGCAACGATTGAAGTTGGAAGCGACGCAATTGAAAGGAACAAAAGATAAATTCATGATTGATTTGGAAGTTGACGTGTTGACATTATATTTAAATGAAATAGCGTGTTTTGTCAAAAAATAATATTGTTTTATGCTTTTCAAAAAAAAAAAAAACAAAATAATATTGTTTTGAGCGACATTGTTATTTTCTCTTCTCCCCCCTAGACGTGTAGCAGGGGAAGATAGATTTTTTTTTCTTTCTCATTTATTTCCTCCCTGCATGCTTTTGACAAAACTCAAAACCCCATGCACGCCCCCTCATGATAAGAAAAAGGGGGAGCCGCACCTACTGGCCAAAGAACCTGATGCCCCTGACAGGGTAGTAAAGCCTTGCTCCTCGT